GCTCCATTTAAATACAATTTCTTTTCCTCGATCACGAAATTACGGGAATACACGGTACGATGTTCTCGTGCATTACCTCGACCAAGATAGATTAAAGGGGCTCGTATTAAAGCCGCTCTACGAAGAAAAACGTCGCGATTCAATGTCGTACTTTCCTCTTTATGCTCCTTTCACGCTGCTAGTTAATTCCGGTTGTATATTAATCACGGCCCCTCTCTTTGACGAGACCTGGTTTGGCCATCCCTTAGTTACGCTTCTTTCTTATTTCATTTCTTTAATGACGGATTTGCGCGGAAGAAAAGGTTCTTGGACTTGTTCCATTTTATTTGGAGTTTCAGGGCAAGAAGTGGATTGTTGGTAATATGACGTGGATACCTTGACACAATATGTTAGATCAACACACGCTGGATTACGAGCTGGGTCACCACACGTTGGTACAGCATGTGTTGGATCACCACGTGATGAATTAACACGTGTTGGATCACCACGCGATGAATTATCGCTCATTGGACTACTAGATATCAAATTACTACGTGTTGAATTGCCACGCATCGAATTACCACGCACTGGACTACTAGGTGTCAAGTTACCACGTATCGAATTACCACGCGTCGAATTACCACGCGTTGGACTACCACGCATCGAATTACCAGGCGTCGAATTACCACGCGTTGGAGTACTACGCGTCGAATTACCACGCATCGAATTACCACGTATCGAATTACCAGGCGTCGAATTACTACGCGTTGGAGTACTACGCGTCGAATTACCACGCATCGAATTACCACGTATCGAATTACCACGCGTCGAATTACCACGCGTTGGACTACTACGCATCGAATTACGAGGCGTCGAATTACCACGCGTTGGAGTCTTACGCGTCGAATTACCACGCATCGAATTACCACGTATCGAATTACCAGGCGTCGAATTACTACGCGTTGGAGTACTACGCGTCGAATTACCACGCATCGAATTACCACGTATCGAATTACCACGCGTCGAATTACCACGCGTTGGACTACTACGCATCGAATTACGAGGCGTCGAATTACCACGCGTTGGAGTCTTACGCGTCGAATTACCACGCATCGAATTACCACGTATTGAATTGCCACGTATCGAATTACCACGCTGTGAATTACTAGGAATCAAATTACCACGTATCGAATTACCACGCGTTGAACTACCACGTGTTGGATCATCACGCGTTGGATTACCACGTGGTGAATTATCACGCGATAGATCACCACATGTAAGGTCCCCACGTGTTGGACCATCACACGTTAGATAACCACACACTGAACCACCACGCATCAGATTACCACACGCTGTAGTACCACGTGTTGGATCACCACTCGTTACACCACATGTTGGATCATTGAATGACTACGTCAATACGCTTCGAACTGACACACCACTTATTGAGTCACTACACGCTGATATGCACCAAATACATAATACGATGCATCACACATTGGATCCCCATGTGTAGCACGCGTTACGCAGTGTACCTATTAAACTTCCACCGACCAGATGAGGTACATAAAGGCTAGTTTAATATGCCGTGTGATTTCCCTTACCCGCATCAGTTAAAAAAATAATTCCAAAACTTCAAAGAACCCTGATACAGCTCACATGCTGAATTTAAAGGAAATTAACTGCACATGTGGCAGGTAAGTTAGCAAGAGATATCTATTTCAGCTCCCTCAAAGGCAGCTTTCCGATTGAGAGGCAAAGATGTATTCGCATTAGCGAAAAGGTAGTAGAGCGATAATCTCGGAGTCGGTCTAGGATCACATCGGAGTGCGCAAACTCTGTCGGATGGCTGCCTCGTCCCGTTGAGGTTGTGCCTTACCAAAGCCGTCTAGTTCAATTTCGTTCTACCCACTTATTTGTAACGTTCACGATACTTATACGTAATCCCCAGCGCGATACGTGTTTGCAGGTCGCTTCAACCGACCGAAAATGCATCCGTACGTACGGATGCCGGGTAACACGTTCCGGGCATTTGTTTCAAAGGATCCGCCAGTCGGTTTCCATCCTCCGCGGCGTTCCTCTTGGCTTCGCTTATCGCTTACCTACTGCACACTGAAAAACGACCAACAGCTCTCCTTCTGGAGCAGCCTGACGGTGGATCAGTCCGCGAAAGAAACTGTTCGGTTTACTTTTTCGAGGTCAACTCTGGATCAGGGTAACTGTGGACTCGGTCGATAAATTGAAAGGAAATTAAATTTTCAACGGAATTAGTCGATGTCGATTGGTGGAAGATAAGAATGGACTCGGAAAATTGTTTCGCAAGATCCTTAATTTGACGAGCGAAAGTTACTGTTTCGGTTTTTCTATTAAAGTATTTTAAACTTGATTCAGAAGACTATAGTTAGTATTCGACAATATTGGAGGATCAAATTGTCAGGTGCTCCGAACTGAGAAATGACGATATATTCCTTTTGTGTATCAAATTAAATTCCACAGAAAAGAGTAAGCATATTTATTGTCGAGATAGGTACCTCTGACAGACATTTCCCAAGAATAATCGCCTATTATTCAAGACAGAATGGCTTACGAAACATTTCTATCCGGAATAAAAAAGAAACATTGAAATTGAGTATAGGTACGCGAAAAGAACGAAGGGAATCGCGTTGGCGAGGGGAGGTGACCAGGTGAATTCCACGGGCGCAAAGCGATTTATGAGAAGCGAACACCAGGCTATAAAATAACACTTCCCATTCAAATCGGCAAATTAATGGTCGTTTTCATGGATTCTTTGTTTCCGTGGGTCGACAATGGATCGCCGCGAGGTTATTATTCTGAAATAGTATGGCCAAAGGTTGAACGAGTTGCCGCAGAATCCATGGAACGCTGCTCTGATTCGAACATTTTTACACGGAGATTGCAATTTGAGTTAGAAACACGATTTTTTTTATCCCGTGTTAATCACGAACAAATGTTTATTTCCAGCAAAGGATTTTATTCGTCCCTGACAATGGAGTATGAAGTTTGAGATACTTGCTAGGAATTGCTATGTGGATTTGTACTATTCCCTACTTTGTAGGTAGATGAAGAAGAAATTGCAAGAATGTGAGATTACAGGGTTCATTTTTGAAACGCGCGTGTACCGAAGGAAAGAAAGCATTTAAAATTGTCGCAGTGTGTCTCTTGGTCTTTTTCTGCATGGAAATTAATCCGTGTCACCGTCTAGGCTTACGGAAATGCAACGGGGAGTCCTTTGACAGAGACGGGGCATCGATGAAAAGCTGTTGAAGAATTGGCATGCATTTCTGTCGTTCGAAAAGACTCGGGCGCAACCATCGAGCACAAAGGGCCGCGCTGCTGAAAATGAAAACGCGAAAAGTAGAATGGAAAAGCGCGCAAAGCTGAACAGACTGGCTCGTCTGCGATCTTTACAACTATTTTGGCGAGCACAGAAAGACGATGACGTTTAATTTTCAAGACAGATGTGTTAACATTGCGTCACGGAATTTGTGTACAATATGGAGATTTACGAAAAAAGTCGTTCGTTGTTATATTAGAGAGGTACATTGTCAAGCATTGTAATTTTACCCGTTGTAATTTTATGCGTTGGAATTCTCCCCCCCTGCAATTGTGTGTGTTGAAATTCCACCCCTTGCAATTTTATGCTTCGAAATTCTACCCCTTGCTATTACGTATATTGAAATTGTGCCCCTGCTATTCTGCGCTGTAATTTTAGATGTTGATTAAATCTGTTGAAATTCTACCAATTGTAACTTGACCCGTTATGATTCTGCGCGATATAATGCGATCCGTTGAAATTCTACCAATTGAAACTCGATCCGTGGCAATTATATGCTTTGTCATACGATCCGTTGATATTCTACCAATTGTAACTTGACCCGTTATGATTCTACGCGATGTAATGCGATCCGTTCAAATCTTATCAATTGAAACTCGATCCGTGGCAATTATATGCGTTGTAATACGATCCGTTGATATTCTACCAATTGTAACTTGACCCGTTATGATTCTACGCGATGTAATGCGATACGTTGAAATCTTATCAATTGAAACTCGATCCGTGGCAATTATATGCGTCGTAATACGATCCGTTGAAATCTTATCAATTGGAACTCGATCCGTGGCAATTATATGCGTCGTAATACGATCCCTTGAAATTCTACTAATTGAAATTTGATCCGTGACAATTTTACGCGTTGCAATTCTACTCCACGCAATTCCACGCATTGTAATTTTGTTTATTGCGAAGCTACGCTTGGGGATTACGGTCGAGCAACATTACTCTATTACAGTTGATGCACAAAATGGAATCCTATCGCATAAACGATCCATTTGGTTTACTAGCATGGTTTCAAAGGTTTTTTGCAAATAGCAACCCCTTGGACCTTTCGTCTGGAACCAATGCAATGCAGATCTGCAAGCGTTCATCCTCCGTCCAGCGAACTGTACGCGGAATTCCGCGCGTGTTTCGACGAAATAAAGGCAAATACAGCTGCAAGGTATAAAGAAATTCCTGGCCCCGAAGAGGTACTACGTAGAAACTCAGAAGGATGACGAGAATTCTCTAGGTTTTCCATCGTAGATCAGTAGAGACGGTTGCTCGATCGAACGAGCTTCACGGGACAAAGTACAAAGGCAGCAAATATTTTCGAAGCATATTGTGATGTAAATAAACGAACGCGGTTTGCGAAATATTTCCTTTGCTTCCCCGTTGATCAAAGATACCGACTGCTACTACCGTCGAAGAATCGTAACGCTTTCGAGAAACATTCCTCTTTCGTTTATTGTTTGTCGCGAATGCTACGAATTTTTTGCTGGAATTTCCACTTGGTCTGTTACAGAATTAAATGCAGACATTTTAGAAACGAAACAAGAAGTACACCGTCACATCTTAACATATAGGGTTCATGCTTTAAAAGCTAAACGAAGTGTGCTACTTCGATAAATTAGCATCAGTGATGTTCTTCTTTCGGAACTATCACGAAAGGTATACAGTCACTTACCTTGAACCGGTGCGTAGATGTTAAGGTAGAGGCAGTCCTCGCTCTGGTTCGTCAGATAGGGTAGCAGTCTCCTGAGATACTCGACTCTTCCCTTCGGCATCTTGTCGGTCAGCTTCGGCAGCCTTTGTGGGCAAACAGGGCCAAACTTGTCCGCCACCTTGACACCGTGCCACAAAGCACCGCTGACGGGCGGCATGAAACGCAAAGAACCGGTCGGCGGTGACGCGTACGGAACGCCGCGAAACACTTCGACCCCTTCGAGATGACGGTCGAGGGTAACGATAACGCCCGACAGTTCCCCATACTTTGTCCTGACGATCCTCGAGCTGAGCTCGGCGCTGGCGGTAGCCAGGATGAGGCCGAGCAGCGCCAGGATCGACGACGTCATCTTAGTTCGCGCCCTTTAAACCCCGTCTCCGCGCCTCCACCTCGTGGTTCACTCGATCCCGCTGAACGCTTTCATCCCTCGGGATCTAGCCGCCTCCTGGGGCTGGGACGCACGCGATCGTGCTCACCCCGTTACCACGAGGACCGGACGAGCGTTCAGGATGCATCAGTGGACGATCCACGTCGCAGGACGATTTCGAGGCTGCTGAATAAGGATAATCCAAGGGATTCCTCGATCGAACACTGATCGGTTCAGCTTTGGCTCATGCTTGGATCGGAGGTTCCGTGTCTGACCGGGTCGTCGGAGTTTGCTCTTTTCGCGCTGTTTGTCTAGCTCGAGAGAAACCTGCTGACGGCCCTCCAGAACTAGTCAACACGCGGTAGACATTCCAGAGTCAGCGTTTTGGAAGGTAAACCGTCGATGTACGGATTCTACGCGAGATCCTTCAGTTCCGATACGTTCTCCCAATCCCCGATGTCAGAGAGCACTAATCACTAGAGCGTAGAATGTTCCAGTAGATTGTCCTTAGCTTCATCAGGTTCGAACGAACATCGGTAAATTTCCTCGAACCATCCGTTCTACCCGAGTTACAAAAAGACGATCTCATTTCTAATGGCATGCTTGATGTGACGGTACAAGTAAAAAGCGCCCGCCCTAATGATGCCCAAGAGAAAGCTACCGTTCCGACGTTTACCGGTTCGCTTCATCTTTACGACTCGATCTCGGAGGGAAGGCAGCCGGATGTCGTGGAGCTGCGTCCAGCTTGGGAGCGCTTTATTGCTTGCCTCCACGAGCTCTCTAGATGGACCAAAGTTTTTCAAATTGCTCCCTTCCGCTTTCTCGCAGACATTCCCTGTCCGTTTTCGTGCACAGACACGATTCACCGTTACGAACCCGAACAGGAAGCCGTGACCTGTACATATCCCCGGAGCGGATCACCGATCCCTACCGATCACTCGACACCGAATCACTGTCACACCACGAAGCGAAATCCTCACGGTTCACCCGGCTGCACTCGATCAATCTCTCGAAAATCCTGAGGGTCGAGGCCTTCCCACTTAGCCAGGTCCTTCCCGGTGGACCCAGTCACTTGATCACCAGTCACCTGGACGCTCTCGTACCCGCTCGCGAATGGTTCGACGACACACCCACCTTGACACCGTGCCACAAAGCACCGCTGACGGGCGGCATGAAACGCAAAGAACCGGTCGGCGGTGACGCGTACGGAACGCCGCGAAACACTTCGACCCCTTCGAGATGACGGTCGAGGGTAACGATAACGCCCGACAGTTCCCCATACTTTGTCCTGACGATCCTCGAGCTGAGCTCGGCGCTGGCGGTAGCCAGGATGAGGCCGAGCAGCGCCAGGATCGACGACGTCATCTTAGTTCGCGCCCTTTAAACCCCGTCTCCGCGCCTCCACCTCGTGGTTCACTCGATCCCGCTGAACGCTTTCATCCCTCGGGATCTAGCCGCCTCCTGGGGCTGGGACGCACGCGATCGTGCTCACCCCGTTACCACGAGGACCGGACGAGCGTTCAGGATGCATCAGTGGACGATCCACGTCGCAGGACGATTTCGAGGCTGCTGAATAAGGATAATCCAAGGGATTCCTCGATCGAACACTGATCGGTTCAGCTTTGGCTCATGCTTGGATCGGAGGTTCCGTGTCTGACCGGGTCGTCGGAGTTTGCTCTTTTCGCGCTGTTTGTCTAGCTCGAGAGAAACCTGCTGACGGCCCTCCAGAACTAGTCAACACGCGGTAGACATTCCAGAGTCAGCGTTTTGGAAGGTAAACCGTCGATGTACGGATTCTACGCGAGATCCTTCAGTTCCGATACGTTCTCCCAATCCCCGATGTCAGAGAGCACTAATCACTAGAGCGTAGAATGTTCCAGTAGATTGTCCTTAGCTTCATCAGGTTCGAACGAACATCGGTAAATTTCCTCGAACCATCCGTTCTACCCGAGTTACAAAAAGACGATCTCATTTCTAATGGCATGCTTGATGTGACGGTACAAGTAAAAAGCGCCCGCCCTAATGATGCCCAAGAGAAAGCTACCGTTCCGACGTTTACCGGTTCGCTTCATCTTTACGACTCGATCTCGGAGGGAAGGCAGCCGGATGTCGTGGAGCTGCGTCCAGCTTGGGAGCGCTTTATTGCTTGCCTCCACGAGCTCTCTAGATGGACCAAAGTTTTTCAAATTGCTCCCTTCCGCTTTCTCGCAGACATTCCCTGTCCGTTTTCGTGCACAGACACGATTCACCGTTACGAACCCGAACAGGAAGCCGTGACCTGTACATATCCCCGGAGCGGATCACCGATCCCTACCGATCACTCGACACCGAATCACTGTCACACCACGAAGCGAAATCCTCACGGTTCACCCGGCTGCACTCGATCAATCTCTCGAAAATCCTGAGGGTCGAGGCCTTCCCACTTAGCCAGGTCCTTCCCGGTGGACCCAGTCACTTGATCACCAGTCACCTGGACGCTCTCGTACCCGCTCGCGAATGGTTCGACGACACACGCGGATCCACATACGACACCCGCCACGCCGTCACGCACTGCACTCCCGGTTCGCGCGGCGATCCAGCTCACGTGGTAGCCGCATCACGCGATCCGGATCCACGTAGATCCCGAGGATCGCGACCAGATGAAGGGAGGAGGAAGGGGACGACGACCGCGGAACTCGATGAACCAGAGCAGCCGATGTTACCGTCACTTCGACCTCGGACAGACTGGCGTCAAGCGACACCGCTCGCTAGGAGATGCGCATGCCTCGCGTGAACGCTGCCCACACCGAACGGGACATGGGCGGAAGTCCGCGAACGCGTCGATACGGCAGAGGGGATCGATGCCGACTGAAGCGGGAAACTGGTTCGTGTCTGGGACGATCCGTCCGTCATCGGCCTGTCTGTTTCTACTGCGACGACGCGCGACCCTTACGAAAGGCCGGATGTGATTAAGATAATTACCTGCGGGCTGCTTCGTCGGCGGAATAGCAACGATACCGAATTTCTTTTACTTTCTGAAGGACGGCGATTCGTTGTAAACAAATCCGGTTAATCCGATTCGAAGCTCAGTAAATTCGGAAAGATTTAACAGTTAAAATTTAATTACACAGATGCACAAATACAGATTTACTTTATGTACAGATATGTAATACCGAGTGGTAAGTCCGCTTTGATATCTTTGCACGGATTAATTGAATGAACTGGTATGTGCTTGCACAGTACGAAACTAGAGTGAAGATTCCTCCATGATTATGGAAATTAAAAGATCGACATGCTAGATCGCTGGCAGCACTTAAGAACGATAGGATAAGGTTACGCAAACACGCATCAGATTCCACGCTGTTCCGGAGTTATAATCATGTTTACACTGCCACGATCCTTTTGACAAACTGGACGTGGATAACTAGATCCATATAACTGTTCGCAAATAAGGCATGATATCTCGTGTATGTTCTAGCTGATTATACTGTAAACAGGGTCGTGTATGGTTCTATAAACTAGGAGCCATTTCGACTAACTCTCTCAAAACGTTGTAACGGATCGGTTAAAACGCGAGGAGACTTAACTAAAAAGTAAACGAATGTTTTTATAACTTCTCCCGTATAAATCAAGCTTAACTCTTTCGACGAGGAAAGTTGCTCGAGACTTTTTATCACGTACCTGTATTTACACCGCTTTAAGATACTACGTTTTCCTGATGTACCAGTTATGGATACGATAAATAATTTCAGTAACTAGAATTATTTAGCGGGAATGTAAGTTGTAAATCATATTGTTACCTGGATGATCCGAAGGAAGAAAGAAGAAAGCGATCGCGGGGCGAAATTGGAATATCAGCCGACCAGGATGGCAAACTTTTTAACGAGAATTTCAGTGAAGAATGACTACAAGCGCGGTCGGTTTCCTCACAAAGTTTCACGATGTACTCAGCCATGTCTTCATAGTTTACCGCGTAGTTATCCTCGTTAAGAAACTTCGATGCACGTTTAGCTACCTTTTAAAAAACAGCGCGTCTCGGGCGTTTTGCGCGAACGCGCATCGAATTAAACAAGGGACTAATGACTGGAATATATCGTCATAATGATGGCAATTTGAGGAGGAAAATTTTCGAATTTTATTCGAGGGAATAAACTGTTATCTGTTGGATAACACATCATGGACTATTTGGACTATTACGTGTTATGTGATGGACGTGATGGATTACCAGGCACTAAGTTGCTATACGTTAGGGTATTACATATTGGATCACCACGCACTATGTTGCTATACTTATTGAATCACCACGCACTAAGTTGCTATACGTTAGGGTATTACATATTGAATCACCACGCACTAAGTTGCTATACGTTAGGGTATTACTTATTGAATCACCACGCACCACGTTGCTATACGTTAGCGTATTGCATATTGGATCACCACGCACTAAGTTGCCATACGTTAGGGTATTACATATTGAATCACCACGCACTATGTTGGATCACCACGCGCCATATCACCACGTTCGGTATCACGAGGTTATAGCACCACTATTGTATTATTCCACATAGGACCACATTACATTCCCACACATATCGAATTACGTCGAATTTCATCTCTCCCAACATACTCCATCCCCAGGTAATACAACCACACGTTATAACCATCCAAAATTAATCTCAACGTCAGAATCCAAGAATTCCACTTGAAACTTAGGAACAACCCAGCTGGCATCAAGAATAACAAGGGAGGTAAGGTAGAGAAACAGAAGCACGAAGCAAGTAATTCGAGAAGGTGCAGCGTACCTTTGCCCGAAGGTGTTATCGCGAAATCTGTCGAGCATAGACGGGTTGTACGATGCAGTTTACTTAACGTCGTAGATAACGAGGCCGAGAGTGGTTGTTGGACGACCCTTCATGAATTACTGACTTAATTCTTCCGGGCACGAAGGTGTGGAACGCATTTAACATCGTCCCTGGGTGTGGCGTTCCGTTGCGTCAACTTTGCCGATGCTATTAACTCGCATCCTAAGGCTAACGTCAGTCTCGCTACCCCTAAATCGCGGGGCGTTGGCAGCCTACGTGTCGTTGCTTCTCAAAAGCAGTGCGTAATTTAATCAGATCGCTTCAGGCAACAGGGTTTTGCGATATATCGTAACGCGATAGCGGAGATACGTTTCTGGAACGTTGCTGCCAGCGATTAGGGCTGATCATAATTTCGGTGTATTGTTAGTGAACATTATTAATATACAAGTTTAAGTTCCTAATTTTGGTTTATGGTCCTTTGGACGCCGGAAGAGTCACCGAGCTATCTGACCGTTTTCCTCAAGAAATACATGCTCTCTCTCAACGATAAATTTTATACCGTGTATTTGACCTAGCGGAAACGGCGCGTACAGTTTTCACGCTACTAAAAATCATGGTCCCCCATAAACTCCGACCCCTGACCGTAGTTTGCCACGGTACAGTCGAGTGAAGAAGTGCTCCTCTTATCGAGTACTTTACAAGCTGCACTCTTGATCCCGCAATTTTTGACTTACGACGCCGAAGTATTTTGTCGAATTAATCCTGTCATTGATGAAACAAGTCGTGGTTCTCGCCTATTGCTTGACCCTTTCATGTCGATTAGCGAGCTACGTCGCGAGGGCTTCTCAAAGCTGCGAGCACTTTTTTTATGGACGTCGAATGAATGTCGCACAAAGGGCGGACGACAGAAACGCGTGCCATTTCCGAGATTGCGATTCGCAACTAACCGAGCTGGTTCAACGAAAATTGCGAACAGCAACGCCCTTTCGGACTTCTCTCGTTACCAGATGGATTTATTAGCTATTTATAACTTGAGAACTTCGTGGTTTTGACTCCCGCTATATTAGCGCCATTTATGTCACCAATTTCCTTTCATTCAGAGAAATTAATGGACTTTCAAGCGAACATCGTCACGATTAATTCGTTTAGAAAATATTTGAAAATCAACGAAAATAGACAAGCAACTGTACGTGATTATGATTCACACGTTTGGAACTCCCCGATGGATTCAAATCGTTATGACTTATTCATTCTCGTTAAAGTACCCTGTCCGGCGGATGTCGCGCTACGAAAAGAAGAAAAGAGAGCGGAAGAATTTATCTGAACGAGGTTCATTCCAGGCTACCGCGATCCTTCCATAAGGATAAAGGACCTGTCCTAGAAACGGACAGTTCTTTACGAGGCTTTCTTCGTCCTCTCGCTTCACATCTCGTCGAGCACACGGCCGATCGATAGCGGTTTAAACATTCTTCAAATCTACCGTGGGTGTTGAATCAAATAATCGGGGGTTCAATCAATTTCTATTCAGCAAGGCAAACAACTATTCCCAGTTAAAATTTAAACGAAGCGCTAAATTCTGCCGGGTATAGTTTGTGGATGAGTTTGTCAAAATATTGTCAGGTGAATTACAACGCACGCGCTACATCCTGATTTACAACGCTGGCTCACCACACGCTCGCCACAGGTTTACCGAGCTTTGAGTCACTTGGATCAAGCTCTTCGCATGAATTGTGTCTCTCCTTAAATTACGCGAATTGCCATAACTTGAACTGCCACTATATTATAGTATTGTAAAATAAATAGTTGTACATGTACAATTACTTTACACATATTTAGATCAAGTGTGGTATCAATGTACCCACATCGCATGTACCACGTAACCGTATGAATCACAAACAGTTTGCTATAAACATGATTGATAAAAGGTAGTCTCGTCAGAAGGTTCGTAACGATCGCACGACAAACTTCCACGCATCTCAGGATAATATCCGCAATCTATCAAAATCTTTCAGAGCAGTGACATTTTGGCGTTCGCTGTCGTTTCCTGCGCGTCAAAATTTGTCTTCGTGTAGCATGACGATGGATGAAATTTGACGGGAACTTTCGGCTTCCTTGGCTCAGCGATCCCCTCTCTGATAAAGACCCGATCGATGTACTTGTATAATTCGTTAAGCTGAAATATTCAATGCTCCTCGCCAGAAACGACACTTTCGTATTCCGGAAGTGTGAAACGTATAAAAATTCTACGCTTTCATGAAAACTGGTTTTACATAATACACTTTCGGAAACAGTGGACTCGGTAATTTCCCGATAACTCGATCCCGTTCTTCTTTTACGACGGAATTTATATCGAAACGATTCTCCCCCTTTACTTATGAAAATACTTCTGGAGACGTCTCCGCGTCCCACACTAACAGAACGCTGTCGTAAACGAGATTTTGTTTTCTCGGTTAAGGTCTTTTCTTTGGGGACTTTTTTAGAGCTCGATTTCCGGCGTACCGATCTTTATTTCTTTATAAATATGAAACGACGACGAACGGTGAATTCCGCAACATTGAAATTTACGAGGAAAATGAAGAAAGTAAGAAGGGGAAATGGTTAACATCGGGGCCATTATTGGGGGAGAAACTAGCGGATGTGCCGGCGAATAATACGGGATCCAGCTAATCCTGGAAAAATCCAGCGCGAATGAAAGCTTTTCTTCCTCCTTTCATTCGCCGTTCGATGCTACCTGTTACGGCTTTCACTATTTCTGCTCCGTTATCACGTTTTCTGAGTACTTTTGAACTTGCTCGTACACCATATTCAAAGAAGGTTCGATGTGAACCATATTCACGTTTCATATGTACGCAAGTGCTCATTCGGAAAACACTTTTTGCAAAATCCTCATGAATTTTATGGACAACTTCAGATAACATTTA